ATAACAAGAGGGAAAAGGGCTTTAGAGGCCTTGGTGCTCACCTGCAGAGCCTTTGCCCAGCTCTGTACCTGGGGACCACCTATCCTCTGCATGTCACCGTTCCTCAGCTGCATGACGAAGGAGATAGATTACTGGCCATTCCAGATTCTGCCTGAGCTGCGACTTCCATCCCTTCTCCCATCCCACCCATTAACAATGACTGCACACCAACCACATGCCAGGCCTGGCAGGAAGCAACACAGAGCTCACAGCTGGCCCCTCTGGATGAGCTTTCTTACCCCAGTGCTCTGAAGGGACACAACATCACAGCTGCTTCTACTGTTGGATGGAGAAACTGACTTCAGCAGCTTCCCAGAGGGGTTGCAGAGAGGTGCCCGGCCAGCAAACCCCGAGTTTGCCCCTCTTTTAGTTTGACTGGGGGACCTCTCTGGAGCCTTCCAGCATTCCGCTTGCTGTTCCCTGCACACCTGCCCCCAACAACACACACCACTGGACTCCTGTGTTCCAGTCTGGATTCACCTCTTTGCCCAGAGACAACCCTGAATGTTTGTGAACACCCAGCAGAGGAGACCTCATTGCAAGGACCCAGGGAAGTCCCACGCTTTAGGAAGCCCATTTCAGTTGCCAGAGGCTCTGGGGCTCTGGGCCCACTTAAACTACAAAAGGAAAAATTGCACCTTGTTCTTGTCACATAAACAACCATTTTACATGGCTGAAACCAGGGACTGTACACTGGGTTATTCATTAATAAGGTTCCAGGGCTTCGAACAATAGAAGCTTTTATTACCCAGCAAATAGCCCTTTCCACTTGACTAGATCACACCACTTAGCAGTAAAGGACAGCCCCCTCCCCTGAGGTTGCCAAAGCCTCTGTCTGGCAGCACTGGGGAACTAGGGACATAGCAGAGGCCAGCTTTTAATTGACTGTCTCCTCGCAAATGATTATTGCTTTATATGAGATCTTTAACTGGTAGAGATTTTTATTTGCAGTTCACAGAGAAGAAAAGTGGAGAAAGAGCTAACCTTTCTGAACTCTATTGTGTTATTTTCACACAAGGCACTTTTCACACGAGATCCCCAGCAACTAGACCAATACCTGGCACAGATAGGTGCTCAATCGATCATTTTGGGTGAATGTAGTTAGGATGATGTTACCCTTGTCACCTCACACAGAGAATGAACTTAAAGGGGTCAAATCCCTCCTTTAACACTACAGAGTCAAAGGAGGCTGAGGCAGGAGGATCGCAAGTTTGAGGCCAGACTGGGGAACTTAGTGAGACTCTGTCCCAAACTAAAATTTGGAAAAGGTCTGGGGGTGTAGCTTGGTGGTACAGTGCCCCTGGATTCAACCCCCAGCCCTGCAAAACAAACAAAAAGATTATGGAGCCAGCGTGTGGGTTACCTACTTCTTTGTAACACGCGGACTCAAATTTAATGATAGGAAATAGCAACGATTTGCTTTGCTCAGGAACCTGCAGTCTGGGCAGGTCTTGGTGGAGATAGCACCACGTGGTATCAGCTGGAATGGACTACTGCAGAAGGTGCATTCTGGCTGCTGATGAGTGGGCACAGGTCGTTGGGTGGGAGTGTGACCATGCTTCTGTGGATGTCGGCTCCCTCCACCTGAGCTGCTTGGGCCTCCTCACAGGATGGCAGCTGGGCCTGAGAGCAAGCAGTCCAGAGAAACAGGTGGAAACTGAGTCTCTTTTGTGATCTAGCTTTGGCAGCACTGCAGGTCTGCTTCCATCATGGTCAGGAGTGCCCTCCAGATTCAAGGACAGGGAAACCCAGGCCCCTTCTCTTAATGGGAGGAAGGCAAACTTGTATTATATGGAGGCTGTGTGGTTGGGAGCACCTGTGTGGCTCTTTGGACGCTGCTGTCGCCATGGCTAGCGAGTGGAGGGAATGAGCTTGGAACCCATTCTGTCTGACTCCTGACCCCTGTGGTAAATCCACCAGCCCCACCTCTGGTGGCAGGGCCAGGTGTGGCCTGAGCCTGCATTCAACCAGGCCACGGCACAACTCAAGATTGGAATCTGATGGTCCTGATCAAGTCTGATCAGAACAATCCGCAGTCAGTGTGGGGAATGTCCGCTGGAATCAAAAAGGAAAATCCCTCTGGCCCAGCGATGCCATTGCAAGCTGACACTGCAGCATCCCAGCAGGTGTGCACAGAGGAGCTGCACCCATGTTCTACCAGGACGTTCTCTGATGGCCCAAGGCTGAACTTAGAATGCTGGCACCTGCCGTGCCCTGGACCAGGCAACCGTGAGAGGAAGCCCGTCTTGTCAGGGTGCACAGTCATGCTAAAAATACAAAATGGCAAGCAAAAAAATGGAGGGAGGAAGGGGACACACAGGGCTTGAAGGGTTTGGGGGATGATGGGATGTTCCCTGTCTTGGCGGTGGTGATGGTTTCATGGGTGTGGACATGTGTCACTCAGACTGTATGCTTTAAACACACGGTCCTTGTTTGTTAATAAAGCTAATTTTTAAAAAAGGCACAAATGAGACCAGGTGCCACTGTGTCTCTGGAAGGGTACATGGGAGACGAGGTGCAAGTGGGGCAGAAGCAAGTGGCCCAGGGGGAGGGGCTTCCTTTCACGAAGTCCCTCCTGTGGTCCTAACTGCCTGGGGTGTGCGTCCTGCAGATTAAATGGATAAGTGACACACGGATATGTGCATACCTAGGGGAGCCATGTTCCAGCAGGTTGAATTGTGGCCTCTCCCTATGAAAACATGTTTCCCTTATCTGGAAACGGGGTCTTTGCAGAGGTAACTGAGGTGAGGATCCCTTGGTATTAGGGTGGACCCTAAACCCAAAGTGTCAGACAGAAAAGGAGAAGACACAGGGAGGAGGCATGGGAGAGGAGGCGGAGCTGAGGGAGGCATGCATGAGCCTCGGGTGTCAACCACACCAGAAGCTGGGGACAAAGAACAGATTGTAGCCAGGCACAGTGGCACAAGCCGGAAATCCCAGTGGCTTGGGAGGCTGAGACAGGAGGATCGCAAGTTCAAAACCAGCCTCAGCAAAAGTGAGGTACTTAGCAATTCAGTGAGACTCCGTGTCTAAATAAAATACAAAATAGGGCTGGGGATGTGGCTCAGTGGTTGAGTGCCCCTGAGTTCAATCCCAAGTACCAAAAAAAAAAAACAGGTTGTCCCTTAGAACGTCCACAAGGAGCCACCCTGCAGGTGCTGGACCTCAGACTCCTGGCCCGGAACTGCAGAGTAAACCAAACTGCTGTGGCTCTGCTGCAGTGGCTACAGGAGGTTTCACAGCCGTGACGTGGGGCTCATGCTTTCCCGGCTGTTCCTGGTACCGAGCTCCCTGAAAGTCTTTTCCTGACCTGCTCTGGACCTTCCCAGCTCTCTTCACCTCACCTTAAGCTCAGATCCCAGGTGTCTGTGAGTTGGGCCAGCCCAGTTCAGCAGCTGCAGCCCAGAGGCCACATTCTCTCCAAAGCATCCCCTGGCCTTCTTGCCTTCACGGTGTCTCCACCAGCCCTAGAGGCATTTTTGGTAGCAAACTCTTACGTGACCATAGTCCACAGGGCTGTGAGAGCCTAGTGGAACTTTTGGGTCCCTATGCCAATTTCTGTAGCCCTAGCTCCTGGTAGAAACTGGCACATAACAGGCACTCAATAAGTACTTCTTAGCTTGGCTTGGTGGCACATGCCTGTAATCCCAGCAGCTTGGGAGGCTGCAGCAGGAGGATTGCAAGTTCAAATTTAGCCTCAGCAACTTAGCAGACCCTGTCTCAAAATAAAAAATAAAAAGTGCTGGGGATGTGGCTCAGTGTTTGAGGGCTCTGGGTTCCATTCCTTGTACAAAAAAAAAAAAAAAAAAAAAGTGCTTCTTGAATTAAATGGACTTCCCTGGGCAGACAGGACTCCCTGTAGTGACCTTGGTACCAGGGGCTCAGCAGAATGCCCCAGAGCTCCAGAGGGTGGGACAAACATGCTTCCCTCTGTATCTCTCATTGTGCAGGGGATGGAGGTGGTGACTGCCCCGTCTCAGGAGGTGTGCCACCAAGGCTGGGACTTTCCTTTCACAGCCTATCAAAGGGGACAATACCTGAGAGGGTAAGGGCCTTGGCTGCCACGGCTCTGTGGTTTGTGCAGGGCGTGGATGACACTCTGGGAGATGGGCCTCATGGAGGGGCCCCTGCTGGCAGCGACAGGGCTGCCTCGTGTCAGGGCAGGCGGTGTGAAGCCGGCCCAGCCACTTCTGGTGCCAAGAGCCACCCGCCCCTCACAGCTCATTCCCAAAGCGGCGCCTCCTCTCCAGGCTCTGCCACCAGGGTTTAGCGGAAAAGATTGGGGGCACCTATCACAGTACTGCCTGCAGGGTGGCCCTCTGGGTGAACTGCATCCCCTGCTCCATCTCTCATGTCACCCCTGCAGAACCTCCACAGGAACAGGCTGTGGTGGGAGGAGCAGCCCTGGCATGAATCTGAGGCTCCGAAGGCCCTGGCATTTGAGGCCCCTCGTGGGTGGTCCCCAGGGGCTGCACACTGTCAGCCCTTCCTGGACATTGATAGGAGACAGATGGTGTCAGAAGACACCCAGGAACCTGCCTCTCCCCAGGGTCCTGCTGAGGGAAACTCAGAGCTGGGGGCGGTTGGGGGCGGCTCCTCCCCTCAGAGGCAGGGCCCAGGCCCTGGAGCCCTGTGAGCCCCATTCTGATGGGGAGACCAAGGCAGGCTGGCAGTCCCGGAGGCAGGGATACAACAGCCCGAGTGCCTGGACCCTGGGGCAAGTTCTTGGGGTGTAGAGATCTTGGATGCCTGATCCCAGACAGTCCCATGGCCTCCTGGGCTCCCAGCCACCCTGGGCCCCTATCACACACTCAACCCGCATTCCACGCAGCTGTAGCTTTAAGCCTCCTGCTGGGGCTGTCCCCTGCAAACTGCTTGTTCCACATTCTCGGGGTGGTGGGGCGGGTGGGGTGCTGGCACGCCCTCTGGGAGGGAGGCTATAAGGCACGGGCAGATGGGGCCCAGAGGGGAACTGGGGCCCTGCCTCCCGCTGTCCGCATGGCCCTGCTGCTCTTGGGGCTCCTGGTCCTCCTGGGCCTCTGGGGGCTGCTCCGTGCCTCTGCCCGCAGCCCCTCCCCAGCCCTGCGATGGCCCCCCGGGCCTCGCCCGCTGCCGCTCCTGGGGAACCTGCACTTGCTGAGTGTTTCGCAACAGGACCGGTCATTGATGGAGGTAGGCCTGGGTAGCCCCGCTCGACTCCCTCAGCCAGATGGTGGCCGTGTTCCAGGCCTGTCCCTGAGGAAGCCAAACCCAGTTTACACCATCCATTCAGCATGGTGCTGGGCCCACTGGGATGCAAGAGGAGTGCCCCTACCCTGATCTTGGGAAGAGAGAGCCACCCACCCCACAGGGAAGCTGCCCAGGGTTAGCGGGCAGGGAGAGCTCCTGCAGGAGGCAGCCTTTGGGAAGCACTTTCAGGAAGGTCAAGGTTGGTGCGGGTGGGATGCCCACTAGGTGTGGCTCCTCCTTGAAGAGCTAGTGATGGAAGTTTCTCGGCCAAGTTGAAGGCTGGCTTTCCTGCCGTGCAGCTGTGGGCAGGCTGACTCAGGGAGACACAGAGCCCGGATCTGCCCTGTGAGGGCTGACCAGCCCTGTCCCCTGCATGGGCTGGCACCCTGTCCCCACAACCCCAAAGCAGCCCCTTCCATTTAGTCCCCAAAGCCCTCACCAGAGACCAGCCCCCATCCCCTGCCCCATTGCAGTTCCTAAGAGTTCTCCCTACAAGGGGCTCCTGTCTCCAGAGTCCCCCAGATGGCCTCTCCAGGACTGCAGATGGGCAGGCAGCAGAGGGCTGCAGCCCTGGGCTGAACTGGCCCTGTCACACCTTCCCTAGGGCAGGACACCTGGGCCCCACCTGGCCCTGGGCACCAGGCTCAGGGGCTCAGGCCCTAGATTGGTGCTGGGCAGGAGCAGGCCCAGCTCCGTCCTCAGACATGAGTAGCCAAAGGCAGCTCACCTCCTGCTCCTGAACCTCAGTGTCCTGGGCTTAAAATGGGGAGATGACGCCTTCCTGGGCAGAGATGCCATTAGGACAGAGGGAGGAGCGTGACGGGAAAGGCTGGGGGCAGCCCAGATGTGAACTGTTCTCTGTCCTTGTTCAGCCAGTGAAGGTCAGAGTCAGAACTGACCAGCCATGGCCTGGGTGCTGCTTCTGTCCCTCCTTTGGTGCAGGTTGGGGGGGGGTGCCGCTGACCAAGCTAAAGTCCAAGGAGGGCCACAGCACGGAGGGACTGTCCAGCCTGCTGCCTGTGCAGCCCCAGGCCACCTGCAGCCTGGTCGTGGGTCTTGAGGGCCCCTGGGATTCCTTCTGAAAAGAAAACCCGTGAAAGTCATTCCCAGCACCAAAAGGCAGCACCCCAGTAGACTGGGAATGGTTCTATGGGTCCCCCAAAATGGCCCTGCATGCCCCCTACGCCCTGAAGAGTCTCCCCCAGTTCGTCCACCCAGCCGTGCTCTGCCCAAGTGGACCCCAGAGGGCCTGATGGGTAGGGGCTGCCCACCTGACCCCTGCTGCCCCCACCAGCTCTCCAAGCGCTATGGGCCAATGTTCACCGTCCACCTGGGCTGCCAGAAGACTGTGGTGCTGTCCGGCTATGAGGCTGTGAGGGAGGCCCTGGTGGGCACTGGGCAGGAGCTGGCGGATCGGCCCCCCATCCCCATCTTTCAGCTCATCCAGCAAGGCGGGGGTAGGTGTGTGGTTCTCTGCAGTAGAAGGTGGGGACTGACCTCTGGGCTGGTGCTGGGCCAGGGGAACAGGAGCCCTTAGGGTCTTCCCATCACAAGCCAAGAAGGGGCCTGCTAACCCTGGCCAACCCCCAGAGAACAGGAGGGTGGAACCGAGACCCCTCCGCCAGGCCCTGCTGACCCAGGTGGCCCCACCTGCTCCTGCCTGCCATGCAGGGCAGGGTGACGGCCACACAGCATCTCCGTGTCCGCCCACAGGCATCTTCTTCTCCTCTGGGGCGCGCTGGAGGGCTGCCCGCCAATTCACAGTGCGTGTGCTGCATAGCCTGGGCGTGGGGCAGGCGCCCATGGCCGACAAGGTGCTGCAGGAGCTGGCGTGTCTCATGGGACAGCTGGATAGCTATGGAGGTGAGCAGGGGCTGGGACACCTCTCCCTGGGGTCCCCTGCCTGCCTGAGGCCCGTCTCCCCTGCAGGCCGGCCTTTCCCTCTGGACCTGCTGGGCTGGGCTCCCTCCAACATCACCTTCGCACTCCTCTTCGGCCAGCGGTTTGACTACCAGGACACCATGTTTGTGTCCCTGCTGGGTCTCATTGATGAGGTCATGGTTCTCCTGGGGTCACCCAGCCTACAGGTGAGAGGTCGCTGCCTCATGGGAGCTGAGCCCTTAGAGGTAGGGTAGACCCTGGGGAGAGTAGGACTGGGGGTGTCCAGCATCATCCTTCACCCCAACCGTCAGCAAAAGGAGCCTGGACTTGGGTCGAGAGCTTGAGTCTGTACTCCCTTGGTGACCCCCTGGCTGCACGCCCGCAGACCAGCCTCTGTGCTCCGTGGGAAATAGTAGGTCTGGAGCAGGGGATCCTCATTTTCTCCCAGTGCCCCATCAGTCACAGTCACACCTGCTCCAAGGTGAGGAGTGGGGCCAGACACTCCTCCCCCAGGTGGGTAGGACCCAGAGACATGGGTCCCAGCCCAGGTCCTTCACCACATTACAGAAACCACAAAATCCGTTCTCTGACATCATGGGGGTACGTGTCATTTCTTTTCCAAAGTCTACAGATTCCACACGTCCGTCTTTGGCGTCTCTAACTGTGAGTTAGCTGAAGCCTAGACACCAGGTGTGCTGCTTGTGGGATTGACAGCAGGACTTGGCAGCAGGTGTGCTTTGTCACTCTGCTGTCCCTGGCATGAGGTCCCAGGAGGTGAGGTGGGACAGCACAGCAGTGCCCGGGGCTGGTCCTCAAACTTTGCAGCCCGTGACCCACTGTAGTCAGAGTGAGGCTGTCCTGCTCTTAGGGGCACCAGGCCAACCCGCCCAACTCCAGAGCCCTCCCCTGGAGTCCCTCCCAATGGGGCTCTGTGGGGCAGTCCCATGGCCCTTCCTACCCGTGCCTGATTCTCACCTTGGAGCGCCTTGAGGAGTTTCTGTCCACGATTGCTGGTGTCCTGGGAAAGCAAGTGTCTGAGGGTCAGCTGGACAGCAGCTGGCATCCACCTGCTGGTGGGGGACACCCTGGCTCCTCAGATTCCACCTCTGTGCAACTCCCAGAGTGGGTGATAATCTGCAGCAGCAAATGCCCCCTCTTCCTTCCTCTTCACTTTAGCAGGTGGAAGGGGGCATGGTCACAGGCAGCCTGTTTGCATAAAGCCGCCAGGTGTGTTACTGTCAGATGGCTCCATGCTCGCGACTGAGGTTTCCTGAGTCCCCGGACCCCCAGTAGGGCCGCAGGCCTCCAGCCAGGCGCCCTCTTGTGGCCGTGGGTGGCACATGCCCCAGCACCTTTGAAGCCCTGGATGGGGACACCCTTGCTGCTGGATGGACGGGCTCCCCCCGCGGGGACCAGGTGCCTGGCCCCACCCCACCACCCTGCCCTCTGTCCCAGTTGTTCAACATCTACCCCTGGTTGGGGACCCTGCTCCAGCTGCACCGGCCTGTCCTGCGCAAGATCGAGGAAGTGCGTGTCATCCTGAGGACTCTCCTGCAGGCGCGGGCCTCCCCCACGCCCCAGGGTGGCCCTGCGCAGAGCTTCGTGGATGCTCTGATCCAGCAGGGTCAGGTAGGGGAAAACCAGGAGGCCTGTGGGAGTCCCTGTGGACTCCAGGACTGGGGCTGGGGAGGTGTGAAATGGGGCATTCCTAGTGCCTGGTCTGGGGCACTGGAGGTGGTGAGTGGGTGCTCATTTTTCTGTCCTGGGTTGGGGCTGGAGTGGACAGACCTCAAGACCTCAAGCTCTGCCCACCTGCCTCACAGGGGGATGACCAAGAGGGCCTCTTTGCAGAGGACAACGCTGTGGCCTGTGTGCTGGACATGGTCATGGCTGGCACAGAGACCACCTCCGCCACACTGCAGTGGGCCATCCTGCTGATGGCCAAATACCCAGGCGTGCAGGGTGAGGCCTCGCATGTGGCTGGGTACCCCCAGGGCAAGGTGATGGGGTCCTCCTCAGACATGGTACCACTTTCCGGTACAGGCCGTGTGCAGGAGGAGCTGGGCCATGTACTGGGCCCTGGGAGGCTGCCCCGGCCTGAGGACCAGAGGGTACTGCCCTACACCAACGCAGTGCTGCATGAGGTCCAGCGGTACATCACGCTCCTGCCCCACGTGCCCCGCTGCACAGCTGCTGACACTCAGCTGGGTGGCTACCTGCTCCCCAAGGTGGGGGCCCAGCTGGGCCTCATTCTCTCCTTCCCTCTTGCTCAGGGTTGGTCAGGATCGCTGGACTCTGAGATGCCAAGTCTTGGGGCTGGTGCCTGACAGCACAGAGATTTCCCCCATTGGAACAAGGAAGGCGTCACCCCAACCTCACAGCACCTCCTACCTGGGACACCAGAGCCTGGGGATCAGGGTCCTCCTCTGTGTCCCGAGGGTCAGGCTAGGTGGGGTCAGTAGGAGCCTCATCCTCAGGGAAACCTCCTCAGAGGCCCCTCACCCCATTTCTGGGGTCCTCCTCTTGGCCCCCACAGGGCACACCTGTGATTCCCTTGCTGACTTCAGTGCTCCTGGACAAGACACAGTGGGAGACCCCGGACCAGTTCAACCCGGGCCACTTCCTGGATGCGGATGGGCACTTCGTGAAGCGGGCTGCCTTCCTACCCTTCTCCACAGGTACTAGGGCTGGGGCCAGAGGCCCACAGGCGACAAGCCCTTCTGGGATGTCTGGTCTCTGGCCCTTGGGGCATGCTCCCTAGCACCTCCACAGCAACGCCCCCTCTGGGAGCAGGCCTGGCACCCACTTGGTGTCTCCCTTACCCTCACAGGCCGCCGAGTCTGCGTGGGGGAGAGCCTGGCTAGGATGGAGCTCTTCCTGCTGTTCGCTGGCCTCCTCCAGCGCTACCGCCTACTGCCTCCACCTGGCATCAGCCCCACTGCCCTGGACACCACTCCTGCCCCAGCCTTCACCATGCGGCCCCGTGCTCACACCCTGCGGGCAGTGCCCTGGCCCTAGGAGCTTCCACTGGGCAAACTCCCAGGGGCTGCCCCTCCTGGGCCTCTAGTATGGACGGCAGGGGTGGGGGGCAGCGCTCCTGAGCAGGAACACTGCCAGGCCCCACTCCCTGGTCAGCACCTCTCTGGGCCCCACCTTGACCGCAGCCACCACATGGCTTCCATGCCACAGACCTGTCCACGGTGGGTAGGGCTGTCCTGTCCAGTATGGGCTGGTAACAACCTCATCTAAATACCACGGGGACAGAAGTGCCCCTCCATAGCCAAACACCCTGACCCCGCCCGAGTCTGTGCCTCTGAGGCCCTGGGCTCCCTCCCAGGATTGCACACAAACATGGATTCCCTCCTCCACTCTTGCTTCCAGGGCAGCAGGACACCCCTCCCTGCCTTTCTTCCTCATTCCTTACCTCCCATGTCCTCTGGTGCCTTTTCTGCAGTCACCCTCAGAGTGTCTCTCTGATCTATTCCCTACTATCCAGTTCCCTACCAGGGCCAGTGTCCACCAGGCATGTACAGTTTTGGGGTACAAGGAAATACAGGGTGATGCCTAGGCTCAGGGGTGACGTCTACCCAGAGATTGGTCTTAGTCCAGGAGTCCCATGACCTACCTCATTCTTGGTGCACCTGAGAGCCATGCCCAGAGTCCTCTGAATGTCACTAGTTGCTGCCTCCAGCCCCCAGCCAGAGCCAAGTGCATACTCCTTAAAGGCCAGCTCACACTTAGCTTGTATGGGCACTGGGGCCAAGGCTTCATGGTCTGTCCCAACACCTGGGGTCCTGAAACAAATTCCTCCCACCCTGTGCCTCAGTTTACTCACTGGTGAAATGGGTCACCACGACTGCAGGACCATTGAGCTTTGAGGGAGGTGCAGGGTGGAGATGCTGAGAGTCCAGGGGCCAACCCCAAACCAAGGTGTCCACAGGGAATGGAGAGGCTGCTGAGGAGGGGAGGCCCCTAACCCCACGAGGGTCACTCTGCTGATCTCCCCCAGGGCTGGGCATAGGCAGCACGTGGAGGAACGGAGGTCCCAGGCAAGCCCTTGAGCACTCCCACAGCCATGCCCTGGACAGGGAGGGGCAGCCCCGAGACGCCTCAGGGGAGGTGGGCCACTCAGGGCAGCCACCACCCAAGTCAGGCTGTGTTGGCAGGTGAGGTTCAAGGCCATTTCAGGAGGCTGCTGACCCTGACCTGCTGTCTGCCAACCTCACGGGATCCTGGTGCAGAAAGGGAGACCCACACCCTGACATGCCCGAAGCACAAGAAGCTTCCCTTCTCTCATGATGCACCCAGGCCGTGGGGCAGGGCCTCAGGTTGGGTGTTATCACACTGCCCACGGGGCTACCTGTCTCTCAGATCTCCAGGCTACATGGGCTGGGCTGGAAGCTCCGGTGCTTCTGCCTGATTCTCAGCTCATTTTTGGGATCCTTGGGGGAGTCTCCCTTCACCATTGAAGCAGCCAGCTCTGGGGTGCACACCTGGGGTGCAGGAAAGCCGAGATTGCCCCCCACCTGGCCTTGATGGCTCCCAGGCCTTCCAGAGGTGGGGCTTCTCCACAGAGACCACTATGGACATTCGCATGTGGTGCACCATCCTGGGGTCCAGCCTTAGCTGGGGTCCTGCTTTGTACCTGGCAAGCCTTCTTCAAACCCGCCTCGGTTCAGGCCATTGTCCTGGGAGCCTGGTGGGCTGCAGGTGGGGACACTCAAGGCTCGCTGTGACAAGGGGAAGGGGGTTGGTCCTCCTGTCAGCATGGTGGCTCCAGAGTCAGAGGGCTAGCAAGGGAAGTGGGGCAGCTTCCAAGCTAATTGTTACCTCCAGGAACCTTTCTTAGGGTCCTTCTGATCCCCACTCATCTGCCAAATCTCTGCCCCACGCCTTGACCATGACCTTGGTAGAGGACACAGGAACCAGCTGCTGAGTGGGTGGAGGCCCAGTTGGGGATGTGGATGACACCCAAATAGCAAAGGGGTACCTTCTGAGCAAGGGAGGCACCCAGCCACAAGGATTGGGGGGGCACTGCTTACTCAGGGTTGTGACAGTGCGGGCCAGTCAGTTGAGTGGGATAGGGTCCCTGGTCCAGGGACTTCACATGCACAAAAGGTGGCCCCTCCTGGAGAAAGAAAAGGAACTGTAGCTTTCCTGCCGTGGAGCAGCGCCCCGAGATTGGGAGAGCGGCTGGACCACAGGAGCAGCATGACACATCTCCAGTCCCCAGAGCGGGCGCAGCAAGCTCCCAATAACCGGGGGAAGGTCACTGCAACAGAGGCTTGCAGGGACAAGGTGCTGACACTGTGGTCACGTGAAGGAGTGGGTCAAGGAGGTGAGGGGAGCTTGGCTGCATCCAGTCTTTCTGGGGAAGAGCTAGGCGACAGGCACATAAGTATCTGCTCCTCTATTCTCACGTTTGGAACCTGTCATTTAAAGGTTGAGGGCAGAAAGAACCTGTCCCAGCACCAAGGGGGAGCTTTTCCAACAGAACAAACTAATCTCACCTGGCCTCAACTTCAGCTGACCCAAGGACTATCTGGGGAAATGCTGGTCCCTTCTTCCCAGCATTGGGGAGACTCAGCCGACACTCAAGACACAGGTGATGGGGTCGTGAGATCATCACCCAGAGTCCGGGGGCCACTTGCAGCCTGGAGAAGCCCATCTCCAGCGTGAGGCAAAACTCCAGCATGTGCTGGATTCTGGGTGGGAGGACTGTCCACTATTGCCCATTGCTGTACCCTGGGGTGATGCTGCTCACACCTGCCCCAGGAGGCCGGGAACTGGACAAGTGGGCTTGGAAGCAGGTGGGTGAATCCCTGCTCTGCTGGGCAAGATGCCATGTGGGTGCATCCAGAGGATTCTAACCTTAATTACTACTCAGCTTGAAGGTTCTTTACTTTATCATCTGTGACCCACCCCCCCCCCCCACGAAAATGAGGAAGGTATGAGAGGTTGAGGTCCCTGAGGACAGATACGGAAACTGAGGTTGGGGTGTAACTTGCGCTCAGCTGGGAGGCAGGGGATGGTGACCAGGCACAGTACCTGTGCCCAGGAGCTGCCAGAAAGCTTGTGCCACCAGGAGGAGGGTGTGGGAGCCAGCACCAGCGAAGAGCAGGAGGACAGCAGAAGCCCAGCCTGCCACATCAGAGAAGTCAGAGAGGGACAATCAGGAAAAGAGAAAGACACAGCAGGCAACTGCTCCAGGAAGAGCGCAAGACAGACCCAACACGGCCTCCGTTCTGAGATCTCAGAACCGTGCCTAAACACACACCCTTCAAGACACAGCGGACAGAAGCTACCTCCTCAGGGGCTGGTCTCCAGGTGCCCAGTGGATCTGTGAGGGTCCCACCACCCCAGTCAGCGCCTGCCCCTCACCCAGAGTTCCTGTGCCAGTCCACCTGCACGCCATGGCTCCCAACACCATTCTGACTTTTGAACAGTGGTTTCTGGTTGGTCAAGCCATGCACACACCTGCTGATAAAGAGGAACCTTAGGAGGAAACAAACACTGTCACCTCATGTTGCCAGCAGGCTTTGTCCTGCAGATGTCTTTGTGACCTTTCTCCTGAAGGTGTGTCTGTCCTAGAGGTGTCCTGGGGAACACTAGTTTATTAAAATCAACTTTAGTGAGGAATTATGCATGTAAGGCATAAGGTCTGCCCATAGGCATGTGAGGCCATCTCCGTCAGGACACAGTGCTCCACCTGGAGCCCCCTCGGCCCTCTGGGTCAGCTCCATCAGTACATTTTGCTGTCTGTTAGTGAGCAGCTCCTGGGACCTCATGAGTGGACTCTGGTGGCACTTCCTTGTTTGTGTCCACAGTTCTTCCTTTTTGATGTTAAGTGTCACTTTGTCCAGTTCCTGTGCAATGGACACTGGGAATACTTCCAGTTTGCAGGGGCAGAGGGGGAGATAGCCATCACTTGAGGTTTCCAGATGCAACTTATCCCCTGTGAGCTGTGGGCAAGGCAAGGACTCGCAGCCCAATCTTTTTTTTTTTTTAATTAAAAAAATATTTTTATGTGGTGCTGAGGATTGAACCCAGTGCCTCACATGTGCTCTAACCCTGAGCTACAGCCCCAGCCCATCGCAGCTCAATCTTTGACATTCTGGTCCCCCCTGGGGTCTCATCAGAGAGTGCCACCTCTGAGTGGCATCAAAGGACCCCCCCCAAGGAGCTGCTTGGTCCCAGGTGGTCTCTTGATCATCTCCCTCTGCACATTCTGCCAGAGATGCTGTGGAGATTGGCACTCTGTGACCACAGGCTTAGAAAGAAAAGATCCCTTCTCCAGCAGGTGACAGGGGAATGCTGGTGTTGAAGTCAAGTGGGCCCAGGTCTCCAACACCGGTTTCCACAGACAGTGAGGTCTTCTTCACATTTCCTTTCTAACTTGGCTGCCAGAAAATCAGGAGCTGTTCTTGATCTATCAACCCTGATTTTTAAAATCACCTGTCCCTTCTTTGTACCTTGTGGGTCTTTATCGCTGCCTACCTACTTCTTGGTGTACTAACCTAAGACGCCTCAAAGTTCGGCAACAGTGGAGCTGCACCCAACGGCGCACGTGTCATTACCCTGGGCTGCAGGCAGCTGCTCTGCAGGGCTGAGGTGCCAGCATGTGGATTATAGATCCATGGGGGGGTGGGGTGGGCGGTCTGTTTGTGACCCTATCCAATGGCATAAGGCCCGGGACTCCTCACATGCTGTTCCCAAGGGCCACCGTGGGTTAGTGGCTACCACATGGGTCAGGATATGTGGGCATGTTGTGTGATGAGCATCTCCACTGCAGAGGAACAGAGCCAGGGCCACACACTGCCTGGGGGGCGGCAAGGAGCCCCAGACTGCGAGCAGGCGAGACCCTGGTGGTGAGACCCTTGGGTCTCTTCTAATCCAAGAGTCTAGGGGATCTGTGGTGACAGGTGACAAGGGGTCTGCATGCCAGGCTCGCCCAGGCTATGACTGGCCTTGGGAGAAAGGGATGTGCTTCTGCGGGGGCTGCACCCAGCAAGGCCACCGCCATCCCGCTGCCCACAGGTGTGCACGCACATGGTGCTTCGCTCCTGACCCAAGCGCTGGTGACCAGAATCAGTCACCAGCCCTGGGGAACAACTCACTTTTGTCCACTAGTGTAGCTGGAGTGGCTTGATGGGTGAGTTTGGAGCACCCACAGGTAGCTTGCCCCCTGTGGCTGGGTACATGTCCGAAGAGGACCAGGTGGGGCTGTGTCCTCTGTCTGCCTCAGGAGTCCTGCAGTGGCTGGCTCCAGGGGGATACTGATCATTCAGAGGGGGGCCTGCACTCCACTTTTATTAAAGGCCATGTGCAAGGGCCATAGGTGTGTTTAAGGATACCCTCTTGGGTGGCAGTTGAGGCCTGAGCATCTTGCTTTGTAAAGGTGACCAGGCAAGGGCTGGTGCCACTCTCACTGGCTGAGGAGGCTGGGAACCACTGGGGCCACTCTTGGGCCCTGAGGTCTTCTGCAGGTAGCCTGGATTCAGCCTCAGCCCTTCTTACCCTGGCGGCTCCCCTCCCCAACGGCAGCTTCTCCCTGGCTGCCCAGCTCCTGCACATCCCATGTGACTGGACAGTCAGGGGTGGGAACCCCTGTTCTGCTGTGCAGGGGTATGTCCTGGCCAGGACGGTCACTATGATACCTGGAAAAGGCAACCTGAGAGCATGGCTGCTAGAAATGTCAGTAGAGAGCAGGGATGCTGTCCTGGGAGGCTCCTGAAGACGGGAGTGGCGGCTGAAGCATGCCTACCCGGACAGCCCTCCACAACCTCCGCCAGAGTGAGGACAGGCTGATTTTTATTGAAAATGGGGCAGCACAGGCACAGGCTCTGGACTGCTGCCCCCAAGGGTTTCCCTGAAGCCAGACTGGAGGCCACACAAGGAGGCGAGGCCCACGCTGGAAGGGCTGTCAGATGAAAGGTGCAGGGACCGACTTGGGGACCCACACCCCAAACACTGAGGAAGCACAGCTGGTGGGGAGGGCCAGTTCTTAAGATACTCCTGGTAGAAAAATAGATATCTGGGTTTTGGGGCCACTTGGGGCTGGAGCTGGTGTCCCGGGGTTTCTTCAGGGAGATCATGCTGTTCTGAAGGTACAAAGATCTGGTCGCCCATGAAAACAGTCCCTGATCAAGGCAGGTCAGGAGTTCAGAAGGAGGGTCCAGGGGTCCTTCCAAGGGTCTGGTGCCCCTACGTGGCTTGACCTACTCATGTTCGTCTTTGCTCCTTTTGGGCCAATGAAGACCCTCAATGTGTCTTGAAGAGCCCAGGGCAGCCGAGTGCCACTCCATCCCTGCACTAGGACAGCAGCTGCAGCACCTGTCGGAGGCGCTGGGCCTTCTCCAGCAGGGCGGCCTCCGAGCCCGCCTCATCCAGCTCCTGAATCAGGGCTTCCGCCTTCTGGACCGTCAGCTCCCGGGCCCTGCCCTTCAGCCCCTCCAGGTAGGCCAGGAGGGTGGAGAAGTGCTCGTCGGGAACCTGGCGGCGGGAGAAGGGGAGCGGGTCAGGGCCAGAGCAAGGCGACACACAGACCTGAGCAGCAGAAGATGGGCACACAGTGTTTTTCCACCTGGGCCCCCACAGGGCCATGTGAAGGGCCCTCAAGCTATGGTGTTCCTGCCCTGCCGAGGACAAGAGTCCAGGTACACAGGAAGAGAGGGCCAACTTCCCTGCCTCAGCCATTTCCTTCACCAGCCTCAGATGCTCCTATGTTTAGAGGCTAGCGCCACCATGCCCTCTTGAATGCCACCAAACCAGCAAGTTTTAAAGAAATAGATTAGCTAGGATAAAGAATGGGCGAGGCGGTGACATTCACAGTAGTCTGGGGGATGGAAGACAGGCCTGACAGAGCTCAGCAGACCCGAGAAGAGAAGCTCAAACAGTCTGGGGTCGGAGGACACAGTAGGCAGGGTGCACTGCAGGCCTGGCTGGGCCCTGGCTCCAGGGTACTGTGTTGTCACCTCTAAAGAGGCAGCTGCCACCAAAATGTGTGGCTTCCTGATCTTCCAGACAGCAAGGTACTAGCATAAAGACAGGCACATAGATCAACAGAATAGAATAGAATAGAGCCCAGAAACCAACCTCCCACCAATTTATTTTCAACAGGTGCCAATTCATGGAGGGGAAATAGTCTTCCAGTGGTGGCAGAGGATGCTAGGCACCCACCCATAAGCAAAGGCACAAAGTTGGAGACCTTCTTTATGACAGACAGATGCAATCTAAGCAACTGGTGCCGTGAGTATAAGAGCTGGAACTATAACACTCTTGAGAGACAGCATGGATACTTATCTCTGTGACCTGCCACTTTGTGGGGGGAAATGAATGTCCTCTGAATTTGTTCCATTTCAAGATCAGTGAAACCAATGCACACCCACCATGGCAGGCCACAGATCTGTGTCTGGATGTCCTGGCTGAGACGGGGACATAGGTGAGACAGGCATGGCCCTCACCTGGTCTGTCTGCAGACACAGGTGTCCCCTGCACCCTAACACATACAGCGCACCTGAGATGCCTGGAACGGTGTACAGGAAACTTGAGGGTGCTGGTGTGGAAGGAACGCCCCTGGGTGCCCGCGGGAGTGTGGAGGCTACATGACTGTGGCCTGTGGGGGCCGGGCCTTCACGGCTTGGGGTTGTGTGTCTAGATCCCATCTCCCTTCAGGAAATAAAATCGGCTCTGAAAAGAAGTGTGCACCTGTGCCCTGCACACACGGGCAGGGGCCTCCACAGGGTGCAGGTTTGCCTGGACCTTCAAGGCTGGTGCCAGGGACCTGGCAGGGGCAGGAGTCACTCTGCTTCAAATGTAGGTGGGGGGGAAGGTTGGGCTCCCCATGGGACCATCAGGACAGTCTTGCAGCTTGTGACCTCTGCATAGGCCTGCCACCTGGGAGACCCTTCCCCTGGGGTGTGCACAGACCTTGTCACTGTCGTACATGTGCAGCAGGAGCCACGTCTGCCTCGTCTTCTGGAATTTCCAATTCTTATGCTTTTGGGCCCACCTGAGGAAATTGAGACAAGCATCTCAGAGTGCGGACTGGCCAAGCCCCTCCTGTGCTAAGGGCTGAAGCTGTGGTGTCCTGGGGCCTTGTACAGTCCCTCTCTGAGGTGAGGAGCTGAATCTGCTGGGGGCAGCATGGTGCCGAGAGTCCTGGTCAGGAAGATGTGCCAGCTCAGCAGGCTGCCGAGCCCCTTGGCCAATCTTGGCCCACACTGTAACAGGACATAAAGGCTGGATGGCTTGCGGCCATTTCTTTCAATCCCACTCATCTGTGACCTCTCAACCACAAAGTGAGCATTCTGAACTTCCTGAGTTCAGGCTTCTTCAAAAAGCTCCTCTTGCAGGCTGTGGCTGGGGCTCAGTGGCAGAGCACTTGCCTAGCATGTGTGAGGCACTGGGTTCGAGTCTCAACACTGCATATCAATAAATAAAATAAAGGTCCATTGACAACTAAAAAAATATTTAGAAAAAAAGCTTCTCTTGCATGGGATTGCCAAGTCCTGGCGGCCCTTCCTCCTCTGATGAGTAGGACAGCTAGGTTTCCCTGTGTCTAGGCAGGTCAGTGGAGGCTGGGCCAGGACAGGTGGGGCTGGGAGTGTCCATGAGGAAGTGCGTCACTCTGCCTCCTGCTCATGGGGGCAGGGACAGCCTGTGGGCCTCGCAGTGTGCACCGAGAGAGAGGGAGAAGGAGGGCTGCCATGCCAGTCTGGGCTGCTCAGTTGTCAGGCAGGCACAGAGATGTCCTATCCCAGGGCTTCGCAGTGCTTGGTCTTTGCTACAGCAGCTTGGTGGTGCCTGAACTGACCTGGCCCCTAAGTGCTGTCAGGGCTGCGGGGGAAGAAGAGGACAAAGAGGACGACAAAGAGCACTTGGGCCAGGACGGCAGGCCAGGCTCTCAGAGGTGAGACCCGCACGCTGGGAAGGGACTGCTGAGTGAATCCCGGGTAAGGCAAGGGCAAAGCCACTGCCATGGACAGCAGTCTTCAGGCCTGAGGCCCAGACACAGGAATACAGGTGTCTGTGACAGAAAGACGGAGGGGAAGAAGACGACAGGGCTGCAGTACTCCAGCTGGAGGGCACAGTGGGGAGGGCTTGGGCCTCGAGCCTCACCGCCTGTCTTCTGAGGGTTGGCAGATCCTGCCGGCTGCTGGAGTGGGAACACCACAGCTCTGTCCTGCTTCACACATGGTCCCTGGGGCAAAGGTAGCCACACCAGCTTACCTTCTTGGAACCTGGGGACTCCGTGCAGAGTCAAGAGAAGGCTGGGCCACGGATGCTACCTGCATGGTCAAGGCTCCAGCTCGCATGTCCCTGTAGGAAGCTGACTTACCCTCTTGGAAAGAGGACATTTAGGAGTGAGGGTTGGAGACAGACCCCTCAGGCTCTGTGCCAGGTGCCTTTGCTGTCTATCAGCCCCAAGCCCCTCCCTCTACCAACTGCTCTGTGGAAACGGGGTGGGCCCTTTGGAAATATCTCCTTTGTCAGACACAGTAGGAAGAAGGAGGGGGAGAGACATCAGGGTGCGTTTCCCGCTCGGTCCTCTGAGGGGGAGTTCAGGGTTCTCAGCACCATGTCCCCAGGGAGGCCTCCCTGGAACAGCACATGAACCCCATCCCACAAGGTCTGGGCCTCAGCCCTGGGTCTGGTACCGGCTGTTCTGAGTTCTCTGGAGTCCTTGCTCATCTCACTAGCCGAGGCCCATCGCAGGTGTCTTCCCACATAATACCCCTTCCTAATTCAAGCCACTGTGTGGTGCTTTCAGTCCCTCGACTGCCCACAGACCAGGGGTTGGTTCCCACGTTAGCCCCTCACGCACACTCAGTCATTGAGCAGATCCCCAGAACACGTCACCACCTCCCCTGGTTCGTTCTAGCCTGGGACTTCCCTGTGGTGAAGGCCTGGATCCAAATGCAGCCGAAGCTCCTTGTGTCCTCTAGACCAGGGACCTAACCAGTGGCCCTAGGCCTGCCCCCCACCCCATGATGGCCTTTTGAGTGGCTGCTGACTGCTGGCAGGTATGGGGACATTGGGAGCAAAAAGACCAAGCAGCTAGGAGGGCACAGTGGGCCCCAGACCCACGCCCCAGAGTTGCAGTTCCTGCATTCCTGAGGTCCCACCCCAACTGGGCAGCTGGATCCCACAAGAGGAGACCACAGGGGAGGGAACACTGCCTCTGTGGCCCTGCCAATGTTAGCCCAGAGGGAGACCGTGGTGTGACTGCATCCATGCTCACAGTGAGATGGGGTCTGAGAGGGGCCCCTGGTTACCAGCACTCCACAGGTGCCACAGTGACTGCTATCTTACCCTGTCTCCTTTCCACCACCGAGACAGTGTAGTCAGGGACTGTCTTCCCACCCATTCAGGGGCAGGTCCACCCCACAAGGTGCCCCCACTCACTCTGGGTGACGTTGTAGGAATCCAGCTCTGATCTGAGAGGATATGCTTGCATGGATGCCACTGGCACCCAACCCTATCACTCTATATAGCGCTAGCAATAGGGGAAGCTTGAAAAATGAAAAAGGACCCTGCTAGTGACCGTGGGGAAGCGGTCGCTCTTCACAGGATGGTGAGCAGCGCAGGCATCAGGACTGGGCATGTCCACCCCAGAAGTGCGTGCTTAGATACCCACTCTGACTACCCCTCTGTCTTCTCTCAGGCTGGCTCCCGGCTACCTGTCACCTGGGTTTCCCCCATGTCAAACCTGCTGTGGGATGACGCAGGGCATAGTTCAGAGGCACTAAGTACCTTTATACTGTTGTGTGGCCACCACTGTCCACCACTGTCCACCACCTACCGGCTTTCATCTTCCCAGCTGGCACCTGCACCCACCAAATGATAGCATCCTTGCTCTCTGTCCCCGCTGCCACTGTCACACTCCCGTCTGTGGCTGTGTCTGCCGGAATGCTCCACTCAGGAAGAACGGCAACCCGTGTCTGCACCATGACGCAGCCTCACCCACATCGTATTGCACGTCAGTGCTTCTTCCCCTACCGCCCAGAGCAGGAAGTAGGGGCACACGTGCACAGGTGGTTGCAGTAGGGTCAGGAGCCCAGTCACTGGGGATGAGATGGAGGGACCATGGCCATGGGCAGCATCCCCAATGTGGACCTGCAGGGACGCTTGGATGGGGTTATGTGATCAGGCTGTATATGGGAAAGCCCCCTCTGGCATGGGTAAAGGAGGGTTCATTTAAGGAACCAAAACTGTGGCCAGGGGTGGGATAGTTGGAAAGTCCACAGGAGAAACCATGAGGACCTGAGCCAAGGTCAGCCCTGTGCTGTGTCCCTGGCCAAGGGTGGGGTTGGGAGACCACCACGACAGGGAGGTTCCCAGGGCCCTGACTCTTGGGTATGTGACTGCCCCAGGCTTATGTGAAGCAGGCAGGGAAGGGCACGAGGGAGGCACCTGACCGGCATTCAGCAGAGGGCCACTTCTCTCCAGCCCAGCACTCTCACCTACGTGCTGTCTCTGAGCAAGGCCAGACCCCTGGAGACAGGGCTTTTGAAGGAGGCCACCGTAGGCCTCAGGGAGACCTCCCATCCCGAGGTCCAGTCTGGGGTTGCAGAGGTTGAGGGTATTGTGTAAGCAAAGGGGGACACAGAGATCTGTGACCGCGGTGCCAGCAGACCCTCGTGTGGGCGCGTGTGCAGCAATTACCTGCGGAGGTAGTCCAGGGCCAGCTCTGCGCCTGAGCGCCTGGCTGGCGGGGGCTGGGCTGCGGCAGCGCCAGCCTCTCTCAGTCGCTTCTTCTCTTCTTTCTTACGTTCTTTCTTCAGCTTCCTTTCCAGGACCCTCCTTTCCTCTGGTGACAGCTCGGGGCCTGGGGCCTGTACCCTACTTGCTGTCTCTCCCTGAAAGTCAAGGACAGGCCTGTCAGAGCTGGTGTGTCAGAATGAAGTGACCACAGCACCTCCCTGATTGACCTGTTGCAGAGCCTTGTCCTCCTAGGCCCCTGCAGGGCAGGCCACGGCCCTCTCACTCCATGGCAGAGCTGGGTTTCTTGGGGAGAAGGCTTACATGTTGTCACCACAGGCAACCACCAGAGGGCAGCAGCCCTGATGACACCTGCAGCTGCCGGGCACCAGCCTTGCTAAGTAAGGGGTCCTCCCAGTGAAGACCCCACAGGGAGTCTCTGACCAGGCTAGGGCATTCTGCAGCAACGATTCCCGGCCATCTCGGGCCAAGAAGCAGCAAACAGAAAACAACGGGAAGTGAAGCATCAAATGGCAGCTGAGCAACTCTGGCCAGGGCAGAGGGGCTAATAAAGCCAGCAGCCGTGACCCACTTTGTCCTTCATGAAAATCCAGGACACTGGTGTTTACTGATCTAGACCAGGAGACCAGAAAGGGCACAGGGTACCCACCAGGATGCCTTCCAGAAGGGCGAACCCCCTATGCACACAGGTTCTCAGAGCCCCTGCCTCCAAGACAAAAAGGACAGGACCCAGAACAGAATAGGGGCTCCCTCCTCCCTGCCAGGTCCCCTCACAGAGTGTTCACCCCCAGGACACCCTGAATCTGCTAAAACAAGAACAGGTCTCTCTGCAGCTCCCGCTCTGTTCAAAGAGGGGCTGGGATTGGAAAGCCAGGACTCCAGAGGCTGGCAACTCCCACACACAGCAGGCACAGCTGAGAGGAGGGGCCTGTGGCTGAGGCTTTGCTGCTCTGCAGGGGCTGGTCAGTGGACATGGGGTCTGAGGGCAGGGTGCCTGAGGGCAGGTTTCAGTGAGCTGAGGGGCAAGAAAAGGAGCCAAGGGGGCAAGCTGTGCCCCCTCAGAACCTGGCCATTTTTGGCTCTCACAGGACAGCCTCTGACTAACTCCGAGACCAGAAACGATTTCTCAGGCCAGGAGGGCTGACTAGGCAGATGCCACAGAAAATCTGGCACCAAAAAGCAGCAAACAGTTGGTACCCAGTGCAGGCCTGGCCTTTGCCCCCATGGCCAAGCAGGCCACACCGCACCACTAGGGCAAAAGTCCACCCAGTTGAACCACAGGGCTGTTGTGGGGGAGGGGGTGGACAGCAGGCCTGGGGTCTATTAGCATTGACCCTGAGGGAGGCTGGCAGGCTGGGGAGGACTGTGAAGGGTGGGGAGAGGTGGAAGCAATTGCCTCTGCACATGACAGCTTCATCCCAAGCCCAGCGCCTTGGCCTCTGACCCTAACCCTGGTTGGTGCAGAATGCAGACAAGAGGGTCAGAGGTCCTACAAGGGGATGTCTGTCTGCTCCCTGAGGACTTCCAAGGCTCTGCATGTGGGCAGTTTCCCTACTGCAAAGGCTGAGTGGAGACTAAGGCCAGGGGCCGTTCCACAGGACAGTGTGAGGGCCTGCAGGGTTCTAGCTGTTTATCCCTCAGTTTCCTGAATGTCCAGCACTCAGACCATGTTGTGTCTGAAGCCTACAATTCTGGAAGCTCCAATAACAGCTTCTTTAAAACCCACTGTACTTTTGGCTGCCAGCAACCCCGATGCGCACAGTGCCCAGTACCCAGGTCCTACCCTGAGAAAGCTAGGTGCCTCCTGGAGAGAAGCTATTCCTTGGAGAGCCTCACCGAATGCAGCCACTGGGAGTGCCAAGGAGTGAGCCGGGTGCCCACGCCTGGACGCAGGCCCAGCCCATGGACTTCTGAGAAGCCAGAAACTGAGATTTACATTTATAATCTCCTAAACTGTGAAGGCCGCCAATTGCCAATTCCAATTAAATAGGGCATATTATGACGCCAAAGACCTACCCGCATGTAAACTGTCTGAGGAGGCCAGCACAGATCTGAGACCCTGACTCCTAGGCCAGAGAGGTGGCACTCTCTACCTCCTATCACACAAAATTCCCAAGGTGGAGACAGAGGCGGGCCCTGGCTTCAGCTGTGCTCCTCCACCAAAGGTCTGCCATTCTCAGTTAGTAGCTGGAGGCAGCAGACACACCCACCAGACTTGGGGGCCACCGTGCCCGGGTACAGGCACTTACACACCTCCCCAAACTGGAACGAGTTTTCTCCAGCTGCCGTGGTCTGACAACTTTCTAAAGGAGGCCCTCGTTAGAAATAGCAGCATTAACCTACCACTACCACATGCATCGACTTCATTTAAGGGGTTCTAAGGTTTTAACTGGCTTAGGTTAACGCCAGTCAGTAAAGGGAAGGCAAGTATCCAATGAGGTCCTCGAGGGCCCCTTCTGGGGACTGGCCTCCTGGAGTAAAGAAAGGACCTAAGAAGGCCAAACCCTGGTCCTGTGACTCACTAGACGCTTCTTTAGGCGTCCTGCCTACCCCCAGGAGTGGGCTCAATGCTGCCTGAGTCCACCCCATAGGCCAGGATCTTCTCCATGGGGTGGGCAGTTCTGGGTTGAAGCCACGTGGACACAATAGTGTCCTTAATGAAAGTAGGCACCCACTGCCTGAATCTGCACCTGGGCCTGTAACACCCCCTTGGCGGGACCACCTACCTTGATACTATTACACAGGTATCCTAGATATGATGAAACAGAAATGAAGTAAAAATCAAAATCTCAGCAGGTCTAGCAGATTCAGGGTGTCTGGAGCAGGCGTTCTGTGAGGGGATCTGCTGGGGAGGAGCAGACACACCCACCAGACTTGGGGGCCACCGTGCCAGGATCAGACAGGTGCTGAGTGTGCACACAGGCTGCACCACCCCAGCTGCAGGATGCTGCCAGCCCAAGGCTCTGCCCTTTGGGATTTGGGGGTACCAGGTTGTGCTCCTGGCCTGTCTCACCCTGATGTTGCCTAGCAGGGCATGTGGTGTGGCAGGAGGCCCTCCCCAGGTAGGCAGACTGCCAGGTGAACCAGGGCTATTGCTCTGAGCCTGCCTGTGGTCCCAGCCCACTATTCACTGCCCACTTTACATGTGGCAAACGGGGGTCACGCCACAGCACCATGCCACCAGGTATACCCAGGGGAATTCTCTTCCTCCTGGGGATCCTGGGCCTCTTTTAGTCACAGCCAGGTGAGTGTTCTCAGGTCAGATGTACTAAAGGGCTGGTTCCCTCTGGTCCCCCACAGCAGGGTTAGTGATGTGATACCTGTAGGTTCCAGAGTGAGAGAGAGTCACACAAAGGCGTGTGGAAGTTGGTCTCCCTAGAGATGAAGTTGGCAGGGTTGGGGCCAGAGACATCAGTGTTCTGAGAATTTGCTGCTCTGTGCTGAGTCATGATCCACATTCAGTTTAAGACCTCATAGGTGAGGTTGCCATGTCCACCTGTCGGCTCACAGAGGACCAGAAGTTCCACACTCCTGTCTCAAAAGGGAGCCCAACTCTGATCTGGCTGCCCAGGCCCTCTGGCCAACCTCACCTCCTGCATGTTCTTGGGGGAACCAAGACTTGCATCTGCTGTGGTCTATTCCAGGAGCCCCGGAAATGCAAGGGCCCAGGCTGGGTGGGGCTGGAACAGGCCCTGGGCCTTGCAGATTGTGGCCCAAGTGGCTTTGCTATCTGCTAAGGAGGCGAGGGCCGCTCCCTGATCTCTGTGAAGGCTCAGCACTGAGCTACAGCAAGCCTGCAGGGGGCCAGGTGCTTCTACCTCAGCTTATTTTGTCAAAGCGTGCAACAGGTAGCCCAAAGGAAGACAGGTGAGCTCCCAACAGATATGCCACTTCCCTTTCCCGGGCCCCTTTAGGGCCGTGGATTTGAGAACAGGCTCCAAGGATCCCATAGAACCTACCTCTATAGGAGGAACTCCATTCCTCCCCGTTCTGAACTGCGGGCTAGAAATGTGGGGTGATGGAAATAGCAGGCAGGATTGGCTCTAAGGGTGATAAAGAGTCACAACTACCACTCCAGATCACCATGGCCACAGAAACCCGGTCTCCAAAGTTCAGTTCATACCCACTCAAGTAGGACACTGTGCCGTCTGCCTGTTCCACAAGCATCTTAACTCCCTTCTCTGGAAACCTCGCTCTCTGGGAGCAGCAACTACAAGGATTGCTGCTGTGACAGGACTTGACCCGCCCAGCCGGGCTCCTAGGTGAGGGTGCCCTGGGGGCTGTCTTTGAGGCGGATGCCCCAGGGTTTGGGCTTTCAGCCACAAGAAAGATACCAGGCAGCTCTTTCTCCCTCTGGAGTTATGGTGTGGAATGTGGCAGCAAGCACCAGCATGACACACAGCTGTGACATGGGTATTGTCCACCGCAAAGGCGTGGCCTTGTTATTTGTTTGCACACTTAATCAATTGAGGGTGTCAGGAGCCTGGATGAAATTTTCTGACTGACCACTCTGAAGCCTTAAGGTCGGGGTGGGGTAGGGGGTCACACACAGAGCCGGGTGCTCCAGGTCCAGCCTGTAGGCCAACATGCCTTGGCCTTAGGTGTCCTGCTAGGGCCTCTGGCCCCACACTTGGGCTTCATGTGATCAACAGAAGCTTCCTGTGTCTGGAGGCAGAGTAACCTGGCAGGCAGAAAAAGGGCCCATTGTTTCCTGGAGCTCCCAAGAGTGAAGAAAAAGTCTCGCCTGCACAGTTGGAGGCTGGGAACCACCAGCCCCAGCCTGTGACGCCACCTATCTGCAAATGCAGGAGCTGTCCAGCCCAGCACCTCACCAAGCAGGTGTGCAGGGAGACGGCTGCTGCCCTGGGCGTCAAGGCCTGGGGTTTCTGAGCGCCCACTGAGGGAAGCATTCTTGGAATTACGGAGGGCAGTGGAGAATGCGCCAACCACATGCCAGCTGCAGAGGGGTCTGGGACAAGTGCCCTAACCCTGTATGATTCTCAATTCACTGGAAGCAGGGCTTACAGCATTTCTACTGCCAGGGAACACTCCCAGTGTGGAAACCAAGGTGCACACCTAATTGATGTGGCAGTGCTGGCTTTAGTGGCCAGGGGCTGGGGCTTCTCCTTCTCACCAG